TTAGTCCACTGTTTCCGTCCATGTAGCATTTTAAAAAACTGTGTTTATAACAATAGCAACATTTGCCTCAGTTAAACCTTTGGGCAATGGTTCTTTTGCATTGCAGTGACTTTTGATCAGTCAACAGACAAAGAACTACCCTGCAGTTGACACTATTTAAGTCAACCGAATTCATTTATGTTACAGTGGCAGGTGAAAAGGATGTCAAATGTAACATAGTTATAAATAATGTTAATATCAAAGCTATGACGTTTAGGTATGCACTTCATTCATATGTAAACGTGATACGTGATTTCAAATTAACGTAATCAGTATTTTGATCACACTGATTACCTCAGTTATCAACATTATTATAAAATATTATTGATAAAAACGCAATTTAAACAGCATATTGTTGTCCGTCAGATAGATTGCCAGACAAAGCAATCTCGGGTCAATAAATGTCCTATAGCTTGTTGGCTGGGCGAATTTTATTCATACATATTTGAGTGCGTCCTATCCCGAAACATGATATAAGCAAATGAAGATATATTTTTCAATAAGCTAAACCTTACAGTGTGTATGATTATTGAATATTTGCGGGATTTTTTCAAATAATTAAAATGTTCTGTTGAAGACAAAGAACAAAATTCAAAATTGCAATTCTATATAGTGAAGCAATTTAATTACAATTCAATGAAACTGTGTCTTGTTAAAATAACTCAACGACACTTGCCATTGTTATCCTAAATTCAGCTATGCTTCTTGATCCCACCGTTTTTTGTGCTAGGTGTATAAATTGTCACCCAAATGAAAACAACAAACCCAATGAAATATCACTGTCATTTTAAAAAAACAATCAGGCTTAAATATTTTTTTAACAATACTATAAAAACATCAAAACAAATACCAAAATGTAATACTCATTATTACATTATATGCAATATGTAATTATTTATACACCTTTATTGCAATTCTATAGTATTCTGTCTAAATTGTGTATATTCCCTGGTTAAATAATAACTTGGCATGAGCTGATGTTAATAGCATGCGATTGTTTTTTTAATTATTAAATAGATATAAGTTGCCCAGATCGAAGATATTTTGTTATCGATGTTCTGAGTAACTATTTAGATTAGCTTGGCATTTCTGTCAAGAGGTATTTAGTATACCTGGCATAGACTTCACGACGTGCAGTCTTGGGCGCTATATTCTGGAACCAAAACTATATCTTGAAACTGGAAATCCCTAAATAATCAGATATACAAAACATATAATAACGCCTAGTCAACGCTTGGAGGACCTGGACAATTAATATTATCATAAATAATGAAAGGTGTCACGTTTGGAGGGCAACCAACATGCCTGACATACGACCTAAAATAATGGGATGTGTATATGCATTGGTGAAGGCCCTGATTGGATGGTACCTATTAATGAGTGCATATTGCACATGTAAATAAATTAGTGGAACCCACTGAATCCAAGGTATATTCAAACAAGTACATTTAGTAGATGGGCACTGTGCCCAGTTTGCTACCAAAAGTGGATTATTTGTTCAATGCTACATGAATAATAAACATTAATAACATATTATCTAATATGTCATGGCGTTTTACTAAACTCTTGGATTCGTGAACATTTTAATTCAACATTATTACAGACACTCTGCAAACGTTACATTGTTGGTGTAGCATACTAGTAATACCGTGAATCATTAGATTGAATCTCATCTACAACCCTCTCGAGGTCATCAAGTTGTGTTTCTAGCTCCCTCATTAATTCTCTGATTTTATCTCCCGTTTTGGACTTTCTTTTCTTTGCCAATTCTATAGCAGTTTTCACCAGTTGATAAATATCAAAACCAATTGAAAATGAGCTTAATACAATATTTACTTTGGCCAGTGTGCGTGCAATATTCAGGCTTATTTTGAGAGTACCTATGCCAATACTTGAGGTCCCACTAACTGCAAGTGGCTTTAATGTGGTTTTAATGTCTTTATAGGCATTATATCCGGTCTTTACTATTGTAATGCCGTTTTTTATATGTGAACCTTCTGATGTATACTCGGAAATAATTTGTTCAAGTTTGTGACTTTGTTTGGAAACTTCATCCCTAGCTTGTAGTTCTTTCTGTACAAGTGCAGCTGCTTCTTTGAATGTTTTTCCATCGATGATTTTTTTGGCGATCATGGACCCAGTTGAAGTAAGAGTACCACCCACTCCAACACCAATACCTACTGCAGCAACTATCGGCGCAGCGGCGCCAGCAGTGAGAATAGTGGCTAAGATTCCTCCAATAGCCAGACCTCCCCCAACTATAGCACCCGAAAATCCAACTGTCTTAGATATATTTACATTTGTGTTTACATTATCCAACTCATTCGCCAACTCATTCAATTTTCCAATTGTTTTCTTTCTTGTAGCCACCAACACCTTGATGTGATTAAGATATGTTGATTGTGCTTCTACAAGTTCAACATTCATCTTGGTAGCTGAATAAAAAGTAAGTATACGTTAATTAATTGCTATGTGTTATGATATTGTGAAATATGTATAATCCTTAATAATGTTTTACTGTAAATGCTTTGGTTATTATATAGTTTGATATATATACTTAAATATAAATATAGGCTAACGTATTTGTTTTCCGGTTCAAGAAAAGAATCCACATTTCTCTAAAATATTCTGAAATAATTAAATTCAAATTGAGACACTTTGAGATATTGCTTGTTAATTGGATTATAACAACTTATAGAAAGATATTGTGAAACTATTACTATCAATTAATCACATTTTTAATTTAGTTTTCACGCAATAGTTATAATGAATTACAATGATCAATTGTGATACGTATTCTTCTGTTTCCTAATTTAGAGTGTCTTCAATACAATAGGAATTTATTTTACACCTACATCACACACTTTAACTTAACACTAAATTACAAATTAAGGGTGACAGATTTCAAAATGGCTCTTCATTTGCATATTGATTTATCAACACTAGTCTTACAAATCTCGTTCGACATGCTGAGTGAAAAATAGGTATTATTGGTTTTACTTGGTCTCCTATATAATAGGTGCTGATTGCTCAAAGAAATTGTGTGTAGTGAGATTTATGGAGAGTAGACATGCCTACCAGAATTGTACATATATTGATATTAAAATTAGTTGTTATTTAAACTTAACTATCTATTCGTTCTGGCTATTTGCACTTTGTAAGGACCACTTATGACTGGCCTAATTAATAGAATTTTTATTGCAAATACTTTTCAGAACATGGTCGCACATAATGTACAATTAATTAAATAATAGGTGAGCATAGTGGAAGCACATTCATCAGGAGGTGTATTTAAAATTTATTTTAAAACAATACATGCACAATACTTCAGAGAGATATTTTAAATCTAGGCTACAGATGAGTACACCATTGCATTGCTTAATTTTTTTGGTGAGTAGGTAAATATATATACAACTGGATTGAATAAACATTACTTATATAACTGTCTTAAATATATAACTGTAGAAGATTGTAGAGATGTAAAGAATCAATCGAGATAGTAGAGTTGCTGTGAGAGTGATACAATCGGGATATTCATTTATAGAGACATCGGATAGTGATAATACATGTAGTAATAAGAACTTGGTTCCCAGGCGCTGGCTTGGCAGCCAAGCCTAGAGACACACAACCCGTGGAACCACAGTTCCCTTCTCATGCTCCTCTTAAGAGTCCTCCCTCTATAATAAGTGAAACCACGCGATATTGTGACGTCACTATGACGCCAAGCACAAGTCAACGTGGTGAGTCAGAACTTAATAACATGCCAAATAAGGAGTGCTAGACAGTTGTGATGACATTTGACATGGCGCGTATGAAAGTGTGAAATGGTCCAGGCTTAAACAATACATTAGAAAAATACATATAGGTGCTGGAATGTGGAGATTAAAGTAGCATTGCATGGGATTACTAGCAGTCTTGCATTATACATGTCACTACTTACCTTACCTGTGACCAACCAGGGAAAACAATATGTATGATGGGTAAATGTACTTTTCTGATGCCTGGGAACGCAGGGTATATATCTTGGCCAATTTCGATTGTTGTCAAGGATAATCGAAGATAATTATGAGGGGCAGCGTAGAGTTGACGAACACGCTTTCTGCAACAAGAAGAGAAACTTTGATAAGGTAATGAAATTATCTGCAAACATAACTGCCACTCCCATCATTTTATCACTGAATCATGACTAGCATATTAAATAATTTCGTAACTTTCATTTAAATTTCACAACGACATGCATTGCTCTCATTGGAAAGGGGAATAATGAAGTCATGGCTTCTGGGTGAATCTTGTACGTGCTGGAATGTGTTACATATTCAGACATTTTAACTAGGTCTATAACAAATACCGCGTTCAAGCAGTACAGAATCACCTCAATAGCCATGTGAGTGTTTATATTGTGGTATTCACATAATAGTCTCATATTATAATGAATCTTGCCTTTTCGCTTTGTAAAGAAATGCGTACCTTTTTCCAGGTTGAAGAAAAATACCCTTTTCTGTATTCGTTGACAATTTGCGAGAAATTAGAAATGCTCAATATGTAAATGTGTGATGAAATACACAGTAATAATTGTCATCACAGAGTAGTTGTAATGTAACAGCTGGTTGTAATGATATCTTTCACATACATATTATTGTTTATTAAATATCCGCCATGAGAGTTTTATAGTTTTATGATCTTTCGCAATCCTTCAAATAATTAAGGTCAACCATGCCTCAGAAGTGCATCTGCCTATCGGAATTGTGTACATATTAATATTAATATTAAAACTAGCTGGTTATTTTCACTTTGTAAGGATCACTTATGACTGGACTAGTCACCGTACTTCCCCGAGTATAAGCCCAGGGGCCTGAACATGTAAAAGACAGGAAAATTAGGGAGTGGGCTTATACTCGAGAACCACCTCAAAAAAGATAATGTTTTGGTGGGTTTAAAATTGTAACCATCTTCTCAACAACGAAAAATTATCCAAATTAAATTTTTCGTTCACAGCGCCGGTCTTGGAAAAATATTATGTCTTTTTTGAGGAAAAAATGTGAAATGAGTTGTCATTGAATGAAGAAACAAATATGTTCATAAAAATACACACATTTGATTACAATAAGGTTTTTATGCCGTCTGAATTTACGGTGTAAAAATGGCTAGGGTCTGTGGGTAGGGTCTTCGTTGTGGAATGTTATCGATCATTCGCAAACTCTCGATACAAAGCAATTTCCGCAATGGCGTTTTTCATCATGATTTGACCTGAACAACTTCATTTGACCTAACAGGTCACGTATTTCGTTAACCAATCAAAATGCTGTGTCATATACATGACATTTTCCGATTATTGACGAAGTAATTTTTTCAACGTAATGCGGAAGTGAATAACCGCGATGTGCGATCTATCTATCTATTATTTCTACCAAAAAAAACGGTGATTTTTTTCCCTAAAAGCTGTTGATTTGCAATTTTCGAAAGGTAAACTGCAGGTAGAGGAAGTATTTAAACCTTTAACGATCACCAACAAGTAATGTTGAGGGAATAGTTTGCTCGTTCACACCAAATTAACGATAATCTCAATGAACACGATTATTCGGAAAAGTAAAACAATGTTCTTTGACCAGGTTTCTCGACTTGACTATCACATGTTGGCGTTTCGAAAACTAACACTCAAAAAAAAATATGGATTACTTCAGTATTGCAACCTCGTGCTTCATCCTTGGTAAATAACAGAATAGAAAATGTGCGAACCATGTTCAGTACGTTCGCCCGCCATGCCATGAGTTTTCTCGTAAAAGCAGGAACCAAACTACCGTACCAACCACAGTCGAACAGCCATGACCTCATTAGCATAATTCAAACAGTATTCCAATTTGACTATTTAGGCCAGTACACATTACACTCTGTACCATTGAGGGACACTGTGTCACGGTTCATATTTTTTTGAAACAACGGATTTTGTTAGAAATATTAATCAGATCAAAACGATTTTTGCTGGTTGACAAGTTAGTTATTGTGATTTTTTGAAAGAAGGCTATATTTACAATATGGCGACCAGTCAGTGACCTCAATATGCACCCATCAAACAAAAATATGGTGAACTGTAGTTTATTTTCACACTTGTTATGGGTCAATGAGAAATTAAATTCATTATTTGTCTTAAGAATAAATTCACTGTTTATTTTTGACATGCACATGAAAATACAGCATGGTTGACCGATAGAATTGTCATGTGCTGCAGGTCAATTGAATAGCTGTATTGCATTTAACAACTAATTTCCAAAGTCCCAACTTCGCCAGTCTAAATTCACACATGTATTTCATTTAGGCTTACCTAAACATTTTGTTTACTGAGTAAACAGGAAATAAAAAAACTTCACAAATTCACAAAGAAAAATACATGTATGTGCCCAATTTGTTATATTTCTGGAATTCTACATTTTTCTACTTTTTTATTTAGTCAGTCGATCCTCAGATAAATATCTTAATTATTGGTTTCACATATACTGGAATGGCACAGTTTAGCTAAGCCTACACTCTCCAATAAACTTTTTTTTACATTCCAACTGCCTTTCCGCAGGGACACGGTTCAATGGAGTCTTACTTCGACTTGATGTCGGATCTCTATCTTTAATTTTGCGCTCTACCGTTACACTCACTCATAAAAATACAGTATGTAGACTTTTCGGGTTAATATCCTACTTTCTTTCACCGATACGTTTTTTGTGGGTTTTTTTGTACTTCTGCGGATTTTTGAGAAATTTGACCAATTTGAATTTCAGACTTTTTCATATGTCCACATT